TTTGTGAAACCCCATCTCCAAAAATAGCAAGAGCAAAATGAACTGGAGGCATGGCTCAAGCAGTAAAGTGCCTGCTTTGCAAGCATGAAGCCCTGAGTTCAAACCCCAGTCCCACAAAAAAAAGAAAGAAAGGAAGGAAGCAACAACATAAGGAAGAAATTTGCTCTTGGAAAATCTCATATAACAAATCTAATGTCCCATTAACTAAAGTAATTTATGTAGCTAAATCCAGATTCAATAAGTCGAGTGGAATAGCAAAGTAATGTTGTAAAGGCGCATATATACAGAGAGATAAGAATTAGTGGCAATTTTTTGCAATCTACTGAAATAAGATACATAAGTAGTATACACTCCTTCCCTTTACCTGTCATTGTCAAGAACTTAGCCATTGTTATGGGTTAGATATGAAGTATCCTGCTAAAAGTCTCATGTGCTCAAAGCTTGGTCTCCAGCTGGTGGCACTATTGAAAGGTATTTGGATCACGAGGGTGCTAACTGCACCAATGGACTAACCCATAGATGAGTTCATAGCTGTATGAGCTATTAGGAGGTGGGGCCCAGATGGAGAAAGTGGGTCACAGGAGCATGGTGTTGAATGGTATCTTGTCCCTGGCCTCCCCTGCTGCTCTCTCTGCGCTGCACTGAGGTGAACTGCTTTGCTCCACCACATGCTCTCCTACCTCACTGTGGCCTAAGGGCAAGAGACAAAAAATACCTCACACCATAAATTAAGATAAACTTTCCCTCCTTCAACATTCTCTCAGAGAGCAGATAAACTAATAAGAAGTAGAAAAGAATCAAAGGTTATTAGTTCAATAAGTCAGAAAACATCTAAGATGGAGAAAGAAGTTAGTATATACATCTCAACAATAACCATAAAGGTAAATGGTCTTAACTCTCCAATTAAAAGACTGAATAGATTAAAAAACAAGATTTAACTCTTATTGTCTACTAGCAGCTGAAAAAGAAATTCTTGTATCTTGTCAGATCATAATGGAATAAAATTAGAAATCAATAGCTATAGAAACTACACAGATACAGAAATCATGGAGAAAAAAATTTAAATTCCTAGAATCAAATGAAAATAAAAATATAACAGAACCTTTAGGACACAGCAAAGGCAGTTTTAAGATACAAGTTTGTAGCTGTAAGTGCCTACATTAAAAACTTATAGTGATCACAAATAACCTAATGATGTATCTCAGGGTCTTAGAAAAAGAAGAAAAAGCCAATTTCAAAGTTAGCAGATGAAAAGAAATAATATAGATTAAGGAAGAAATTAATGAAATTGAGACTAAAAGAACAATACATAGGATCAATGAAACAGACTTGGTTCTTCAAAAAGACAGGATCAACAAATCCTAAAAAGAGTTAGCGGTAGAATGGTGAGCATAGCTTCCTTCCAAGATCAACAAATCCTTAGCCAAACTAAACAAAAAAAAAAGAGAAAGAAGACCCAAACTAATAAAAGTAGAGATGAAAAAAGATACCAACAAAATCCAGAAGATCATTAGTGAATCTTTTAAAAATTTATATTCCAATAAATTGGAAAATCAAGAAGAAACAGATAAATCTGTAGACACCTATGCTCTACCAAAATTGAACCAAGAGGATACAAACAGATCTATAATGAGCAATGAGACTGAAGCATAAAGAATCTCCCAGCAAATAAGAGCCAGAACCACTGGACTCACTGCTGAATTCTACCAGACCTTTACAGAAGAACTAATACAACTGCTTTTCAAACTATTCCATAAAACGAAAGGGAAGAACACCTCCAAAAATCATTCTGTGAAGCCAGTATTATCCTGATACCAAAACCAGGTAAGGACACAACATCAAAAAAAGAATACTGATGAATACAGATGCAAAGATCCTCAATAAAATACCTTGAAACTGAATTCAACAACACATTAAAATAATCATACATCACAATCAAGTGGGTTTCACTCCAGTATGCAAGAATGGTTTAACATATGCAAGTCAGTAAAAGTAAAATAGCACAAAAAGATAGAAGAATAAAAAAAATCACATAATCATCTCAAGAGATACAGAAAAAGCCCTTAACAAAATTCAACATCATTTCATGATAAATGCCCTGAAGAAATTAGGAATTGGAGGATCATACTTCAACACAACAAAGACTAAATATGACAAAACATTATACAGAGTGGAGAAAAACTGAAAGCATTTTGACTAAAATCAAGAATGAGACAAGAATTTGTACTTTCTCCACTCTTACTCAAAACAAAAATAAAAACAAAGCAAAAAAACTGCATTGGGATTCCATCTCACTCTTTAGAATGGCTATCATTAAGAAAACAAAAAACAACAAAGGCTGGCAAGGTTGTGGGGAAAAAAAGGAATCCTTATATACTGTTAGAATAGCCATTATGGAAGTCAGCATGAAGTTTCCTCAAGAAATTAAAACTAGAACTACCATATATACTCCTGGGTATATATCCAAAGAAATGTAAATCAGCATACAATAGAGATGCCTGAACACCAGTTTTATTGCAGCACTATTCACAATAGCCAAATTATGAAATCAGTCTAGGTGTCCATCAATTGATGAATGAATAAAGAAAATGTGGCATATATGCACAATAGAGTTTGATTTAGCCATAAAGAAGAACAAAATTATGTCATTTTCAGAAAAATGGATGGAACTAAAGATCATGTTAAATGAAATAAGGCGGGCTCAGAGAGATAAATATCATGCTTTCTCTCATACATGGAATCTAGATTTGGGAAAAAAAAAGACATGAAAGTAGAAAGTGTACAGTTTGGAAAGAGGAAGGGGACCAGCAGGAGGGGGAATGAGTAACAAGAGAGAGTAATGGGAGGTAAATATGATAAAAGTATATTTATATACATGAATAAGTATCATATTAGTTTGTATAATTAATACATGCTAATAAAAAGTGGAAAATTATAGGATAAAGCTAGAGTAAATAAATTTTCTCTCATGTATTTTCTCACAGTGACAAAAAGTTGACTAATGCAGGCATAGAAATACATCCCATCTACAAAGGGAGGCCAAGAAATGTCTCTAAACCAGGCATGGTGGCTCAAGCTCTTAATCCTAGCTACTCAGGAGGCAGAGATTGGGAGGATCATGATTAGAGGCCAGCCCAGACTCCATCTTGGTTTGCAAGATCCCATGTCAGCCAATAAAAGCTGGGTATGGTAACATGTACCTGTCATCCTGCTACGTGGGGAACCACAAATAGAAGGATCGTGGCCCAGGCTGGCCCAGACATACAGCAAAACTCTATCTCAAAAATAACCAACACAAAAAAGGTCTGGCCAAATGGCTCAAGTATTAGAGTACCTTTCTAGCAAATGTAAGGCCCTGAATTCAACCCGCAGTACTTCCCCCACCCCAAAACACAAGAAATGTTGTCACCAGGTAGGTAAGTGGACACATTCTCTGCTAACACCCAACGAAAGTAGGCAGGCAAAAATGGAAAGTTACTCATGTTTCCAAGAGGAAAACAGTGCTTTGTGTTAACTAGCAAGAAAGAAAAGAGAGAAAGAAGGAAGGAAGGAGGAAGGAAGGTCAATTAACTCAGGAAGTTAGCAAGTGAAAAACGAATCGGAGAAAGCAGAGAAGGAATTAGTAAAGTTACATGTGGAAATCAAACCCTACTACCACCAATAAATAAATGTGGAAATCAATAAGAAAACAGAAAATGGTAGAATTAATAAGCAAACCAAGAGCTGTTTATTCAGGAAAAACAAGCAAAATATAGATAATTAACTAATGTAATCAAGAAGGAAAGGAAGAGAAAGCACAAATACACAAAATAAGAAATAAAAAGAAGACCGCAGGTGCTAAGGAAGCTTAACGAACCAAGAATTTTTTTTCTTGATTCTATGCATATAAATTATGGATGAAATAGATAATTTTCTAAATGTGCATATATATTAAGAATATTGATGCAGAAGTTTAAATATTATGAAACAGAGTCCAGCAGTATATTAAAAGAATAATATATTATAAACAAAGATTGGTTTTAGTTTGGATGTTTAAAATTGTGTGGATATATCAATTTTATGAAACCTATTAACATTGATTACCATACATATACATCTATAAAAAATTCATATGGTCATGTTAGTCAATGTTGAAAGGCAACTAAAACACTCAATATCCATTCTTGATTTTTTTAAAACTCCTAAAATAGAAACATATTAGAAACATCTCCACATCTCTTCTGACTAGAAGGTCTTCAAGAGCAGTAACACACTGATACCTGCACCTTCTTCTGGAATCCATCTTGAAGGTCCTGCCTGAGGCTCTTAAGGTGTCACTCTTCAGAAATATGTCCATGGTGGTTTTCTTGGTTTCTTTTTTCATCATAAACTTGCTTGTTAGTAGATAGCACACTGTGAGTACTCTCTATTAATGAAAACCTTCTAGTGTTGGGAGGGTCTAGGTTTTGAAATTTTTAGCTTGCAAAGGTCTCCAAAAGCTTCTGCTAAACTGTGAATTTTCTTGGAGATTTTTCTCTTCGGTTTCCTTTTCTTTTGACACTTCTTCAGCTACACATTCATGTCCCAGTTCCATGTAATGTTACAGGTCCACCATTGCATATGCAGTTGTTTGAAACATTGCTATGTTATTCATGCATACACAGTACTCTATTATATGAATGAACTGAGATTTATCAATCACTTTCTTATTGATAAAATTCAGTGTTTTTATTTTAAGATTCTTTTTTAGTTGGTCTTTTTTATATGGGTGTAATTTTTCTTAACTAGGATTAAAAGACACAAATATAAAAGGTGAAATAATGAAAATATTGTAAGAAATCAGTAACCTCAATCTGAGAGAAACTTTCTTAGAAAATATTGGACATCCACACAGCTATAAAGAAAAAATATGTTGTATTTAAGACTTCATACAAATGTAAATTTTTCTTATAGGGGAAAAAAAAGCATCATAACCAAAGTTAACAAATTAGGAGAAAATATTATTTTTTTAAATTGATGTCATAGAAGTAGAAAGTAGAATAGGATTACTAGTGATGGAAGGGAGAGAGTAGGGGGGAAAGAGGGAGGTTGGCTAATCGGTACCAAAACACAATTACATAGGAGTAAGTTCTAGTGTTCTACAATGCCATAGGGTGACTATAGCTTATTACTATATATTTCATAAAGAACAAGGAGAGAGGAGGTTCCCAAAACAAAGAAATGATTAAGGAGACAGGGTGCTAATTACCCTGATTTGATCATTATACATTATACATATACACATGCATCAAATTAACACAGCACTCATAAATACGTACTATTATTATATGTCAACTCAATTTTTTTAAGTGGCAACTAAGTTAATATCTCTAATATAGAGAAAGCTCCTAAAGGTAATTTTTTCAAATACAAAGAATATAAACACAGAATTCATAGAAGAGGAAACACCAATGCTCAATAAACATATAAAAAGATCTCAACCTCACCAGTCATGGAAATGCAAATAAAACAACAGTGAGATCCAATTTTTCACCTATCAGATTGGTAAAAATATAAACACAGATAATATCCAGTGCAGGCAAGGGCCTTCTTGGTGAACATATAAATGTCAACAATCTCTTTGAAGAGCAATCTGATGATAGTAGGAAAAACTTTAAAGCCCATATTCTTTGACCCAGAAATCCAATAAAGATGAAACAGCCATTAGTGTCTCCCTGTGTCTCTGTTCCCCATATTCTTCTCTCCAGTACACTTCACTTGATTTACTATTTAATTCCAAAGCAACTGGACTCTCATGCTGCAGTAGTCTTCATCACATTCTAGCCAGCCGAAAGTAGTACCTGGAATAGGAAATGGCCTCGCAGTCCTGGAAGGCTTTGTCTAACAAGTCCCCTTGTACTTTCAGGAGTCTGAGGCCAAGGACACCAGCAAAGTCAACATTTTCTACAAATCCCTGCGGCGGCTGACAAGGTGCAGAACACCAATGGCACTTGGCCAAGGCTGCTATGTCCTGGCCATCCTACTAGTAATTGTGGACATCCAATTTGGTGGTAAGGACAGACCCCAGAACACAGATAGCTCTGTGTGCTGAGCTCCTGGGAAGAGAAGGATTCCTTGAATTTTTTTCTGGTGGGGGATAAAGCCACTCCTTGACTGAAACGAAAGAGTAAAAGATATAGTTTCTTTTTTTTTTTCTTGTTATAATGGACATCGATCACATCCATCAAGCATTCTGCCTCTGCTATGTATTACAAAAGTTTGGTAATCTGGCCTTCGGTTAAAATTCCTTCAGCTATATGTTTATGAAATCCAGCTTGGAGGGCTTGGGGGTGTAGCTCATGTGGTAGGCACTTCCCCAAGTTGAAATCCCAGTACTGCCAACAAAAAAAAAATGAAATTCAGGTTTCAGACTCAGATACTACAGCTTTTGTCAACTTCAGCAACCCATTTATTGACTCTGTGTCTTGGTTTATTTATTTATAAAATGGGAACAATAATACCTGTCTCTATGGCTATAGTGAAGGGTAGATGTATAGGAAAGCATTATAAAGGTTCCATTTATAATCAGGCATGGTGGTGTACACTTGTAATCCCAGTACTCAGGTAGCCAAGGCAGGAGGATCTCAAGTTCGAGGCCATCCTGGGCTACATAGTGACACCCTGTCTCAAAAAAATTTCCTTTTAAGAGAGTAGAAATAAAATAAAAAACCATTTGTGAATTAATGAAGGACAAGGACCCTTCATTAATTAATTTAGGGGGTAGATAGAGACAATCACATATGGACCTACCCCCTAAATTACGTCATGTATAGCAAAGAGGTGCTTAAAAGAAAAACAGGTAAGGAAGGAAAGTAGCACTTATCTGTCTGGTGAGTTTTTAGCAGAGCTGGATTTCACCAATACTGGGAGTTTGCAATGAATGATAGAGAAAGTAAAGGATAGGCCAAATAAAGAAGGAAGGTAGAGGAGAAGAAAAGAGAAGAAAGAAGAGGTTATAGCATTAGACTACAATGTGAGAAGTCTAGCTATAAGGGACAGTGAAGGATGGTGGGTCAACAGATCAGAAAAGTAGGAGGTCAGAGATATCCACTGGGCTAAAGTATTATCCTGTCTATTTTCTTCACTTCATATCCAGGCTGTAGATTAGCTATGGAGAAAATCATAAAGGGGCAGAGGAGAATAGCTCAAGGGGTAGAGCACTTCATAATTTGTCCATGCTTTTCCTATCAACGCTCACTCTGATTCCACACAATGTTCATTTTTAAACTTCTCTACTGTCTCCAATGCGTCTCTTATTTGATAAAAAAAACTTTTACTCATCCTTCAAACTCAACTCAAGCACTAGCTTCTCTGTGGAGTTTTTCTGATTCTTTCAGACAGATGCAGAAATCACTGTAATTCCTCAATTAGAGTAATTGTATAGCTGGATTTAATTTTTTGATAATGTTTTAGTAAAGGCCATAAATTCTTCGAGAGTGGGGTTCATGTCTTATTCATGAGAGTTTTGGCCATAGCAGCAGTGTGGAAGCTTTAAGTTTGTTTATTTAGTTAGTCCCTTAGCTCTCATTTCCCAGGATAATAAACTACTTAATGCCAAAGGAGTTAGGTAACTTGCTTATAGTCACCCAGCTAAAGACAGAGTTCTGTCTGCCAGTGTCACTGCTCTAGACCACTAGTGACAAGGAGCAGCTATGGTGGGACTCAAGGGACTCTACTGGGCCTCCCATGGTTAACTCTTCTATTCCAGTTCCGGGATACATGCACATCACTAGCTCAGTGTCCCAGGAAGGAAAGCGGCTGAATTTAATCTGTACTCTGTGGTATAAGAATGATGAAGCTGAGGGGTTAATAATCTTTCTGTGCAAAGACAAGTTATGGAACTGTTTCCCTGAGACCAGCTTGGAACAGCTGAGACTTAAACGGGATCCTGGGATAGATGGTGTCAATGAAAAATCATCTCAGTTGGTGTTCACCATAAACCAAGCTACAACATTGGACAGTGGGACCTACCAATGCTGTGCCAGAAGCCAGAAGCTAAATATCTACCTTCAGGGCCACTTTTTCTCTGTTCTAGTCACAGGTGAGTCCCTAATAACCCTAAAGTCATGGTGGAATAGTGAGCAAGATTGACAGCTGGCGATATAAGGAGATGTTTCAGTTCCTGGATAGACAATTTCCTTCTTGGGGAATGTCCTTCCTGTTATTCAATACTTAAACACTCCCACTGGAAGATACTGTCTTTTTTCAAATTACATATACAAATGTAATCTCATTTTGTCTTTAATTTTAAAAATCTTACTGGAGTGACCATTTTTATTAGGAGACTGAGTCACTGCAAGGTGGAGAGTTATCTAAAGCCACTCACTGGTGGTAGTAATAGCAAATACAAGTCTGGAATTTAGGCCTCCTGGTTCCTAAGTTAAGAGTTCTCCCAGAGATGTGGCTGTATTTCCAAAACTAGGCAGACATAAAGTTGGAATAGATGCTTAAGAAGTATTTAGTTGGGCCAGAAATGATGGCTTATACCTATAATCCCAGGACACAGGAGGTAGAGGCAGATGCCTGGGCTATATAGAGAGACCCTATCTCAAAACAATAACAGGAAAAGCAGCATTTAGTTGCAAGAACCAGAAACCTGCTCAAGCTACCACAGATTAAAGGGGAAAAAATAAAATGAAAAGTATAGATGACCTTCACGAGTTCAACTCCTACAATCAGAAATCAGAATCCAAAACACTTACGCTGGGTCTCAACCTTTCCAAGACAGCTAGGTCTCTCATCTCTGCATATGTCCTTCACTTTGTCATTTTGTACATGCTTCCCCTGTTCCATTACCACTTTGACACAGCTTAAATATGGGCATTTTGGCCTTGCTTTATAAAGGGACCAACAGAGAGTAACCCAAACAATAGAGCAAGCCTTTAAAAGTTTGTGAAAAACTGATTTTCTACTTAGAATTCTATATCTAGCTAAACTACATACCAATGTGAGAAAAGAGACACTGTCAGACATGCAATTAATGTCTCAAAAAACAAAAACTAAAACCAACCAAACAAAAAACCTTGCTTTCCATGCGAATTTTTGAGAATGGAAACAGGGACTGGTACATGCCAGACAAGCACTCTGCCACTCAGTCACTGAGATGCCCTCTCAAAGCCATGTGAATGACTTAAAGAAGCTACCAGAGGATGTGCTTCAGTGAAACAAAAAAGTGAGTCAGTAAAGTAGCCAAAGTGGGATCCAGGATCATGGAGTCTTACAGGGCAAAGGAAGAAGAAAATTTTAGAATGAAAGAAGGCCTAACAGGGGCCAATTAGTCCAAAGGAGAGCAAGACAAAGAGGACTTTGGAAGGAAGATCTCAAGGGAGGATAAAATGGAAAATATAATTTTTCTCAAAGCCCATGACAGAAGTGATAATGACTAAAGGACCTGGAAAACTGTTTTTGTGGTACTGGGGCTTGAAGTCAGGGCCTACACTGAGCCACTCCACCAGCCCTTTTTTTGTGATGGGATTTTTCGATAGGGTTTCGTGAACTATTTCCCTGGGCTGGCTTTGAACCTCGATTCTCCTGATCTCTGCCTCCTGAATAGCTAGGATTACAGGCGTGAGCTACTGGTGCCCAATATGGAAAACTCCTTTGTCAGTAAAAAATTAAAATCAGGTGATCATTATCTCTAAAAAAAACTCCACTAATTATTACAAAAAAATAGCATATAATTGAAAAAAAAATTTATAGAATCTGAATTAAGTAAACATTATTAGTTTAACTAAAACTTGTGGTATAATTATTTTTGGAAGAATGCAGAGAAGGGAAGGAGGTGAAAGTTTAAGAGAATCATCTTCATCTACTATAGCAAAGTCAATAGATAATATCTAAACTTCTTCATTAGGAAGTAGCAATGTATGCATATTATTTAGGAATATAATGAAACAGCTCAGAGTCGGCAGTGATTATCTCTGAGAAGTAAACCTAGGAGGATAAAAAGACACTGCTATTGTTATTTATGAACTTTCAAACACTGTCTTAACTCCATGAAAAATAAATATGGCAGGCATGATGACATACACTTTTACTCTCAACTCAGAAAGTGGAGGCAGGAGGATGGCAAGTTTGAGGACAGCCTGGGCTACCTAGAAGGAGGGAAGGAGGGAGGGAGGGAGGGAGGGAGAGAAAGGGAAAAAGGAAGAGAGAGGGAGGGATGGAGGAGGGACTCCCCACTTGATTCATCTAACAACTATTGGTACAATGGCAAACCTTGACAAACAGAAAGAGGTACAAAGGCCCTTGCTCCTACAGTCTAGTATTCATGTTTTCTTAATATATCCTAAGTGTTTCTACTTGTAGCCATTTTCCCTAACAAATAATGCCAGTCTCATTTTGTCAGTATATTTAAGTATTAGAATCAGTACAGATGGATGATCCCCAAATGTGGAATTAAGTTTCTTTTGAAAGGTGAAACTAGAAAGATCAAACAGGTAACATGACATTAATGCCTACCATGTTCTGAGTGCTTAGTGTGTTTCGGGCATTATACTAGGTAATACTGATGACTCACATAATCTCCATGGACTTTCAGATAGGTGCAATTGTTATCCTATGACCACCCATCTTCAAAGGTAATTTGTCCAAATTTACCCAAATGATGGAAAAATCCAGATTTACTCCAGAGACCAATATTTTAAGTTATATTGCATGATTCACTACAGGAAATTATAGAATTTGTGGCTACCCGAGTCTTAAGTTGATTACTAATTGTCTCTTTGGCAAAAACTCTATAGAGTTATTCCAAGGACTATTTGCACCCTCAGTGTTAGACACATGCTAGATTCTGTTTTTATTTTTTGCTGCTTACATATACATTATTGCCCACAAATGTTAAAAATACTTACGTGGGAAGTAAATTATGCTAGGAGCAATCCTTGGAGATCACACAAGAGAGGTTCTGAGATAATGCAAAAGGAGGTATTAATGATTTCAAAAACCCTACCATGATCCACGATTCTCTTTTGAACCAGAAACAGGGAATTACACAGTGACAGGATTGAAAGAAATACCATACCCTGAGTCCAGCCACAAGGAAAGCACTTCCAGTTCAGGCTTCCTTGAAGAAAAGAGCTGGGTGGTCCTGGTCATCAGCCTGATGACCCTTCAAGGTACGTCCAGAATACGCTTAAGTGCTCCAACAAAAATGCTGTATTTTTGCTACCTTGGTTGTACTCCAGAAGAAGATGGACAGGAAGCCCAGAGGGAGAGGAAAATGTCCCTCAAGCCCTGACTATAAGAAAGTACAAGCCAATATGCGAGTAAAACTGGTTCACAACCACAGGAAGACCGATGAATCAGACTTTCCACTGGGCGGGTGGTCAGACTTGTTAGGAAAGGCCTGTGAGAGAGGCAAGTAAATACAATAGCCTCTACTCGCTGAATGAACCGAAACTATAAATTGAGGCAACAGATCTTTTGGCTATTGCATGAGATGAACACGGCAGCAGACAGTTGGTCTGGTGGTGGGATTTGAACAATGCAGCTCCTCAGCAAAGTTGATGGTCAGACTAAGTATATTAAACACATGTAGCTGAGTCCTCTAAGCACCATTTATCAATAATGGATAAGGATTTTTCCTATTAGAGAAAAAAAATAGAACTTCCAATAATTTGTCATTATGCTTTTGCAAAAGCTACCAGTTTGAGTGCCACCAGAATGTAAGCTCTATAAATGCAAAGACTTTGTCTTGCTTACTTCAACAGAAAGATAGTACCAGACACATGGTGGGCTCTTAATAAAGAGCTTGTATGATGGATCAGATACTTTACATATGGTGAGTCATACAACCCTTTCAAGCAAACATCCCAATTATTTTTCAGGAAACACACAAAGAAGTAAAATGTTGCCCTCTACATAAAGGATTTTTCACTCTAAAACTTTACACTTTCAGTAATGGCTTACTACATACAGAGCACCTCTATATCCAGCACAACCCTCCCCATTTCAGACTGCCTCTTCCCTTATTCAGAACCAGCAAAAACTCCCTATTCTAGCTCCTTAACTATGAACCATCAAAATAAAACAGACACCTTACTTGTAATCCTTGGGAAGGACCTGCCAAATGTAAAACTGTGCCAGTTTTCATCTGTAAATGTGAATACCAAGCAGGCTCATCATTTATTGGACCCAAATTTCCTTGGATGGTTAGGTTACTTTGTTACTAGTAAATTTTACTTCTTCAGGCACAATAAAAACTAAAGAGAAAAGGGAAATTGAGTCCAGCCATACATACATCCTATTACCATTTATTGCCTTTGACTCCCAAGTTATTCTAAAACAAAAAACTCTCTGAGCTCTCTTTCCTTTCCCAGTTAGGTAAAGAATGAACCTTCAAATCTAACTGGGTTGAGGGTGTGGCATAAGTGGTAGAGCACTTGCCTAGCATGCATGAAGCCCTGGATTCAATCCCTTGTATCACAAAAAAAAAAAAAAAAAGGAACCCAATTATTTTTCTCTTATATTCAAAGAGCTTTGAAGATATACAAAATAAAAACCAAAGCTAAAAAGTTGATTAAACAAAAAAATACACACACTACTTACTTATCATGCTCCAGCTCAAGGCTTAGTAGAATTAAGGACACAGTGTTCAGTAGGATAAAAAACACACATTTTATTGCGCGCTAAAAGATCACGTAGTTCAGGTTATGATGCCTTCATGTGAGGAAAGGGAGTTTCCTCAATCTCTATGCCTCTCTCAGCTCATAAGACACAACACATAATACTCCATTCCTACTTTCCTTTTCCATTCTCTAGTCATGAGGGCCTATCAAGCCCTCAAGTGATCTATATCACTGGACAGGTCAGACACTTCCTACATCATGTATTTTGTTACTATTCTGGAAGGTGTCCAGTAATAATAAACTTTTTTCTTTCCACAGCTCTATAAACTTTGTGCCAAAAGAAACTTTTAAAGTTACAGCAAGCTAAATCTGGTAATATGCAGAGAGAAGAAAGATACATGCTATATGTTCCAAGAATCTGGAACCACCCTTCCTCACTGCCAGAGCAGACCTGCCTTCTTCCCACCTCAGCACCAAAAAATAAAACAGATTTCACAAAAGTGGCTTGTGTACAGTTCTCAAATATTGGATAAGTATGTGTTTTTATTCCACAGAATTTTTCCTCCCTTCCCCTGCAACACTGTAAAATAAGCAAATCAAATAAAACGAGAACACCAATTTTTTGGAAGAAATTTTTATTCAGCACTATAAAGGAAAAAAGAGATGAAACAAGCAAAGATAGGTAGGCAAGAAGAGGAAGAGGGCCAGACTCAGCGACTGACTTAGCATAAAAATGAGAAGACAAAGAGATCTTGGTATTCAACGGCATCCACACAGATGTCTAAGGGAAGAGGAAGACTTGTGCAGACCAGATGCACTATAGATTACAACTGCCTGACTTCAACTAAGGACTTTCTAAACTCTTTCATTATTTCTCTTTAAAAAAAAAAAAAAAAAACCCCAAGCAGTATTTGAAGGCTTTTCTTTTCTCCTAAACTCATAAACTGTTGTCTTAGGGTAGATGGCCTCTTATAGTAAGCAGAACAGGGGCAAGATATTTTCCACAGCAAGAACTACATGAATAAAAAGGTAGGAAGAAACACAAACAATTTAGCTGGAGCTAAGTGGCAAGGCATAAAAAGAAAACAGACACCTTACCTATGATTCTTGCATGGATCTACCAAATGTGAAAGCTAAGGCTTATGGGGACCAAGAACTAAGGTTGAAATACACATCTGTTACAGTAAGATCCTTATTAGGGATAGTCTTGAACCTTAAACAAAGGATTTTGAACTTTGTGTCTTACAGAGGTAAAAGGACTAGACATGGAGTCAAAAGTCCTAGGTTCAAATTCTGGTTCTGCAATGAAATAGCTACATAGCCTTGGACAAATGAAATTTTAAAATGCTAATTCTATTTATCTATAAAATGGAATCACAGGAGTGTTCTGAAGATCAAAAGAGATTCTGGATTTGCAATCCAGAAACATTTGAATTCCAACTCCAAAGCTTTTCCATTATATCAGCTTCATCTCAATCTTTCTCTACCTGTTTGTTTTTAACTAACTAAATTTTAAGCTCATGTGGGCTGAGATGTCTTTTGCTTTTTACTACTCAAAAAAGTACTCAGTACTGTTACTACTCAGTATTATATAATCACTGGAAGTCTCACAAAGATGACTACTGTACTGTACTAATTACAGTATAAAAATCTGCAGGAAGGACACATGATCTCTGTCCAAATTTATCAAGACATTATACTCTCTCTTTAACAAAATTAGAGATAAGGGCAAAACAGTATCTGCTTGGAAGCGAGGGGGTGGGGGTGAGAGGGACGAGGTTGGGGGAAAGGAAGGGGAGGGGGAAAGGGGGGAGTAATGACCCAATCATTGTATGCACATATGAATAAAGGAAAATAAATAAATAAATAAAAATAAAACCATTAGCTCTGACTCAAACTAAGCAGAATAAACAAGCAACTATAAATCAAAGGTCTTGCTTCTAAAGAAGCTTATCTTGAGGCTCAGTTAAACAGAAATTTGAAATACTTGTGTCTTGGCTTTCATTGTGTTGCTACAATTGATTTTTTAAAGCCCATCAATTTCCATGCATGAATAAGAAGTTTTCTGGACATACATCTTAACCCCAATCTGTATTAATGATTCACAACCATGGGTTCTGAACCTTGTGAGACTATGCAGTTATTACAAGGAGTATGTATACCTATTATCTTTGTCTGAATAATGTATCTCACAAATATGCACATATTTGTAACTGAATGCTAAATACATATTTCAATTATCTGTAGATTCTGTCCTAACTAATAAAGACAAATTGAATTAAATGTATTACTGAAATCATAGCACATAAAATTTGCCTCTACCACAAAGGGCAAAGAGGGCTTTTGTTATAGTAATATTTACTCATCAAAAAATACCCAAAATACAGCTAACTTGTTGTTGTAAGGGAATCTTATAATTTTTGACCTTAAAAAATGGTACTTCTTGGCCAAGCACCAGTGGCTCATGCCTTAATCCTAGCTATTAGGAGGATAAAATCAGGAGGATCCTGGTTAGAGGCCAGCCTCAGCAAACAGTTCACAAGACCCCCATCTCTAAAATAACCAGAGTGAAATAGACTGGAGGTGTGGCTCAAGTGGTAGAGTGCCTGCTTTGCAAGCATGAAGCCCTGAGGTCAAACCCTAGCCCTACCAAAAAAAAAAAGGCACTTCTTAATCTAGATGTGATGGCAAACACCTGTAATCCCAGCTACTTGGGAGACTGAGGAAGGAGGATCAAGAGTTGAAAACCAGCCTGAGCTACACAGAGAGACTTTGTCTCAAAACAACAAAAAAAATCGCAATTTGTATTAGGAAAAGCAAACAACCACAAGCTTACATCCCATGACTCACAGATTATTAATTGAGAAGCAACACATATATTCCACTTCTGTGGGTACCATCTAAGTGTAACTTGTCAACAAATCATAGAGTTTATAATATGTAAAAACTCTTAAAGTCAAGTGTCTATAATTAATCATCTGGGACAAGTATGAGCGATCAAAAGCCCATAATGTTTTTTGGATCAATCAAGGACTCTATTTTGATCCTGGAAAGTATGTCCAGTTGCACAAATTATATTTTACATTTTCTGTCTTAAACCCTTGGAGCAGCCTGTGGTTCCCAGCCTGAATGCTGTAACATTGACATTACTGACAGTTATGATTTTCCCTTTCAGGAAAACCATTTGTGATATGTTCAGCTCAACTCCCTTCCATTAGAACTTATGATGAGATTCATTTTGGAAACTCCCAATAAGATCAGTCTCTCCTACCAATTGCTCCAAATCTCCACTGGATTATTCTTCTTAATAGAATGTTCACTTTCCCAACTCTAACAGAGGGCAGAGGGTTTTGACTATGGACCATGCTCCTTCTCCTAAAATCTGTCTTCCTTTTCAGCTCACGCAACCAACTCTGAAACACCCCTCATTGCTGAAGCCCTAAGGGTTGTTTTGTTGTGACTTAGAACAGATACAGATTATGCTTCCCCCTAATTAATTTTGTGAACGTTGCTGTATTTAATTTGTATTCACTGAGGGAACAGCACCTGGAAACCAGACAGAGACTGAAGCATGCAGAAAATCATGAGAGATTCAATGTGGTATCAATAATTACATCAAGAAGTGTTTTAGGACCAGGGGTGTAGCTCAGTGGTAGCACACATTTAGCAAGCATGAGGTCCTAGGTTTGATCCCCAGCAACACACATGAAACTAAAAAAAAAAAAAAAAAAGGTAACTATATTTGAGTTCAACTGATTATAATATAGGAGCAACGGATGATGAATACATTGTCCTTAGCGTCATTTATTCTCAATCCTTGGAAATCATGAGGTCTTTACTTCAAGTAAATCTCTTTGCCACAGATCACATGTAACAAAGTACTTGTCCAAGTCAACAATGTTCTGTAAAAGAAAATTCATGGAAACACGGGACCTGAACGTATATAAATGATACAATCAGACTGAGGCTCCAGCCCTCTTCTGTACTATTTTTCAGTGCCCACTGGATCTCTTCTTCTTCCAGCATGAAATGTGTATAGATGTGAGTATATACATTATCTATATATATACAAATATACATGAATGTGCAATACAAACACATAAACAAGAATTTTTCCTTAATAACTATTTAATCAAAGTGAGAATTGCTGAAGTTAAAAAAAAAAGGATCTTCTCCAAAAATCTTCCTTCTAACTTGAAAACCAGTTATTGGACCAGAGTACTGCTCAAAGAAAACTTCTAAGAAGCATTTGCTTAATTGTTATGCAGCAAATGTTGATAAATAAAATTTATACTGAGCTGAGTAAGCTATTTAAGTAGTAGAATTTCTATCTTCTGCCAAAATAATTATTTTTCTTAGAAATTAAAACATTATTGTAAGGAAAGAATCAAGGAGCTATAGCAACAGGGACAATATGTCATTCTGAAGTTGTCAGATTTCTCAGTTCTTCAGAGAATTGGCAACAGGAACTCTGAGGAAAAATTAATTTTTAATATAAAGATTATTTCTTCTTCTTCCTCCCAACTCATTAGCTCTGAAACCTTAAAGATGTTAGGGTTATCAGCTAAATGTCCACTTCTCTGCCCTTCCCGCCCAGCTTCCCAGTTCTGTCCAGCTAAAATAACCCACATGAAAATGGGTTAGACTAACCTATCTGGAAATTACCTAAGGAGAAATAATCACTAGGAGGACAGCAAGGCACCAACCTATATAATCTCTCAACTTCAAGTCTACTAATTTCTAGGAAATCTTTCCTAGTTATTTGAGAATCAAATCATTTCCTTCCCTGTTGCTTTAAATTGTAACAGACAGGAGGGAATATACATATACATATATATGACATATATGATAAGAAAAATTAGAATGAACAAGAAGACATTAAGAATAAGAAAATGATCTATTCAGCTCTGTGTAGTATTCAAAGGGTAGGGAGGCCATTTAATATAAACATAAAGGCCTCAAGTTCACACTGAAGAACTCAAGATCTAAAATCCTAACAGTTCTCTCATCTCTTTGACAATCAGAGACAGCTGATTGGAGCAATAAGAGTTCTTATGTCTCCCTTGATTCCTAAGTATGTAAAGCTTCCAGCTATAAAGGAATAAGTACCTGAAAAGTTCAGGTTGTCTAGCCTTCTGCTATGGGCCCTATACCTAAACTATTTGAAACATTTAAGGGAAAGGCATTTTGAGAAATAAACTCTTAACCCTAACCTATGAATCTAAAATGTTTCTTGCTAGAATGAGAGGCATATCAGATTTCTAGGCTTATTAAGGCTAAGAAGAAATTAGGTACACACTATATACCATACCACTGAGGTCTCTAAGCCAAGGCAGAATTTCTTGTAGAGGCAAGACTTAAGTGAGATGAAGATCACTCTGTGTGTGTCATTTCTATTCTACTCACTGTGATGGTTAATTTTATGTGTTAACTTGACTAGGCCATAGGATATCAAACATTATTCTGGGTGTGTCTGAAGGCATTTTTGGATGAGATAAACATTTGAATCAGCAAGTTGACACTGAGCATTATCCCTAATTGGGGGGAGGAAGGGAGAAGTTCATCTAATCAGTGGAAGGCCTGAATAGGACAAAAGACTGGCCTCCCTCAAATAAGAGCTACTCTTCCTTCCTGACATCTGCCTTTCCTGCCTTTTGGACTGGGACTGAAACTTCAGCTTTCTTTGAATCTCAAGTCTACTGACTTTCAGACTGTAATTTATACCATTATATCTCCTGGTGTTCAAGCCTTCAGACTTGGACTGGAACTACACCAACTGTTCTCCTGGGTTTCCAGCTGGCCCACAGAGCATCTTGAGAGTTCTCAGCCTTCATAACTGCATAAGACAATTCCTTATAATAAATCTCTTTCTATATCTACATATATATCCTATCAGTTCTGTTTACCTGAAAAACCCTAACTCCTTAACATACACTAATCTAGAAGTCTGAGATGCCTCCTATTACAAGAACAGACAGTAAAAAATTACAAATTCATTAAGTGGGACAAGTTTGGGAAATAGCAAAATGAGTCTTATGTCCTTTACTACAGAAAAAAAAAAGAGTAAAGAAAATTTAAGATAACCTAGTCTGATGCTATTTATTATGCATCAACAGGCAGATTCCTGTCTAGTACTTTGTTTACAAAGTATTCCTGTCTAATTTACTTTGTAAAACTACTCAGAACTAGTTCTCCAGTTTTAACTAAAAATTTAACTAAATGTCCTGGCATCATCTAGAAACCAACAGGTAGACAAAAGTTCCCAAGTTACCATAATTTTTCTGAGACAGCTGATTCAAGTTCTAATTGAAAACTGTAATGTGCTCCAATTTCAACACAGTCTTCCTCCAAATATTTCTAATATAACTCTTGCCTCCCCCCCCATTCTCCTCACCCCCTCCCATCCAAAACTAATGTGTATTCTCAAGCTACATTTTATACACTAATTACAGTTAAAACGATCACTTTTCTCAAAGAAAAATATCATTACAGAGGTGTAACAGGAAAGGTATATAAGAAAAATTTTATTCCCTCTGGGCTACCTGACATATCCTTTTTGGTCACCTGTAAATTCAGCAGGCTACTCTCTACTTTATCTCTTCCCTCCCCAACTCCTCCTCCTTCTACTAAAGTACAAATTTATCTTTAATGCCCCCCTATTCCCTTACCCCCAAGTCAGTACGTGACAGTCAAACAAAAATCAAGACAGAGACTCACTAAAATAGTGGAGATCTTACTCTGATCATTCTAAAGTATGAAAGGCTGATGTGATACTGCAAATGTTGCCACTTATGCACCTTAAATACCCTTTTTGGTATACCAACACATATTCACATATATACATCCCTTTATGTCCTTGAGACTTTGAAGTTCCAACAACATTATTGACATCCTTTATTTATTCAACTTTAAGCATTTAAAGAGAATGTAAATGGACACTGTTAGACTTAAAAAGTAAGGCCTATCTTTCCCAGATCAAGTTGTTTTGGGCATAATCACATTAAGCAGCTTGATTCCAAGTATAGCCAGAACCAAGAAGAACAGGAAAAAGTTTGAGAGATGAAAGTTTTTTAAAAAAATTAAAATAAGACATACAAAAATCTCAATTCCTAAAGAGCAATGAATTACCAAATACATTGAACTGTCTGTAGAAGCAGTTATAAATAATCCTATTTCTATGTGAGAAATTATTGTAAGGTCCCTCATATAAAAGAAAGTAAACAGTGAGTTGGGGTCATTAAAAAAAATATCAGAACTGAAGATTTCAAACATCTTTCTGTATCTACATGCTGCCCAACTCATTCCCAAAAAGGAACCAGAATCATATTCCTATCAATATAAGACTCCCAAGACATGCCATGTTGGTTTCTAGAGAAACTGCACCTCCTGAAATAGTCTTTGAAAATTAAAATGAGAAAACCAAAACATATGGTGATAGGCCACTTTTTTCTTCCCACTATAATTCTTTGATTTGCTCTCTGAGGGTCAAGACAAAACAAAATTAGTAGTCTCAGATTCCTGAATTAATCTTAACTCATTTCATTGCAAATGTGGTCAAGAGTAGATGTGTTTTTGTACAATTAAGACAAAAGAAATTTATATTAGCTGAACTTTAGGGCTCTGGTTCTTCTGTATTTACTGTAAAATACACTAAATATAGGATAAAGGTTGGAAGAGGAAGTGGAGACATCAATTACAAGGCAACATGACAGATAGCAGGAATCTAGCTAGACTTTAAGGAACAGATTCTATTCAGGCAGGAACAAACTGACATAATTAAGTTTCACACTTAAAAAATTATCACTCTGAATTCAAGAACACGAGGCATTTGGTTAGAGATACAAGTCCATCTGTAGATACTAAGTTTAAAGAAGAAAAACACTCACTGCATTAATATTATGGGTTTGGGTTTCTTGTATGATTCCTAAATCCATCTACTACTTTTTTTGTTTTACTATAATTTACAGCTATGATAAGAAGACTACCACAAACAGCCCTGGTTCAGGTATGGTCTTTAGTTTCAGAAAGTCCATCGATCATGTAGCTGGCTGTCACTGCTAAATCTGTTGCTTGCAGAAGCCTCAGAGTTCTGGGTTTGCCGAGTAGAATCCTCACCACTTAAGCTCTTCCTACAAACTGGACATGTGTCATGCTGAAATAGAAAGATATTAATCCATGTAAACAGCCTCATCTGAGTAGCTAGGGGTACTAATACATGAGAAATCCTGAAAGTTAGCCCATCAAAAATTATGACTTGATAACTAGAAAGACAAAAAGGTCATGCACCCTAACACAGTGCACATTGGGCTCCAAGGCATGATGCCAGGATATCTCTCCTGAACAGAATTTTAAGCAGAATGGACAGACAGAATTCCAGGCCAGTAAATTAACAATAGTTTACACATTGTCACCAAACAGAACTAACTAGAAACAGTGACCTGAGATCTGATAGACAAGTATGTGCTCACCACTTCTTCATGTAGTACAGAGAAAGAGTCAGCAAATGTTTTCCTTGAAGAGGCAGAGAGTAAGTATTTCAAGCTTGGTAGGCTACACCAATTCTGCTGCAACTACTCTGTCATATAGCACAAAAATAGTTACAATTTAAGTAAATGAGTATAGCTGTGTTCCAATAAACTTAATTTGCAAAAACAAGTGGCAGGCCACAGTGTTTCTAGTTAGTTAGGCTTTGGTTTACTCTCCACTAGTTAGAAAGTTCTAAAGAAATAGTAATATAACAACATAGTGATGGTGGTACTAGGAGTTAGTCAGGAATTTATGGGACTAAAATCTGATCTATTCAGCTCTCTATAAGATGTTAACTATACCTTTACTCTGAACCATCCCTACAAGAATATGTGACTTGCACAGTTGCCTCATCACAGCTGGCTGTACTTACCAGTTCTAACCATGGCACAATACAACTGCTGTGAAAGAAGTGATTGCAGGGTAACTGCCTGACTTCCTCTCCAACTGCATAATCTTCTTTGCATACTGGACATTCTAAACCTGTATCTATTGGAGGAAGAAATGCCTTTTAAAGTAAATAAGCAAAAAGAAGGAAAAAAACTAACCCAATGTCTCTAACGACCCCAACAATGCATAAAGAAAAGACACAGGAAACACAAGAAAAGTTGCACCAAATGGGAGGCAGATCAGAAGCAGAAATATTTCAAAATGGGGATAGAGGTGGTAGTTTAGCTAATGATATCAGCTAGTCTATATTCCTAGTGGTTGGGATATGTTCCACACCTCAACAGTGGTCAAGGCATTTGGAGGAGGATTATCACTTAGTAGATTCACTCCTTCCTTTACATTCACACCAACCTTCCAACTTTTCCAACTTTTATTTCTCAGGCCAACTCTACTGAAACAGCCTGCCAGGCAGTATCCCTAATTCTAGGCCTTTAACCCTTCAAATATATCCTATAATTTTGCTCCAGCTAATTCCCCTAAGACCAGCTTCATAGCAATTCTCAGCTCACTCTCACTTGGACTCTTAGGTGGCACTTAAGAATTAAGACCTTCATTTCATCTCCTTACCCAAATCAGCACCCACTCACTATTACCCTGACCAGTACCACTTTATAGCTAAAACAATAGTCATGAAATCTTAGAATCATCTTTGATTCTTTCCCTCTTCTCCTCTCACTATGTGATGACTAATGAAAAGTCTATCTTGAAAATGAACTTCTAAATCTACCCTTTCCCTTTCTGCAGGCCATTGCCACCACCACCACTGGAATCCCATAAGGACACAGTAACAGCCTCTTCAATCCTTTTTTTTTAACTTGCCTCTCCCTTCCACTCTAATCTTTACATACATAACCTCCAGAACTAAACCCTCCCTTAAAATCTCCTTAAAATCCTTCATTCCTCCATTTTGAGGACCCTATTTACTAAAACATTTAGGCTTTCATTCTCTTTGAAGTTTCATGATTCTCTAAAAACAGGATGCTACTCTATTTAAGTCATACCTCCCATTACTTCACAAATTCAGATCCTCTTCAGATCTAATAAGGTTACTTTCCTATACCTGACTCCAAAATACCAATATCTATGCTTGAGTATTCTAAAAATTAGACAGTGCTTCTTAAGAATGACCTAAGATGATCCATCTTATCTTTAAATTCCTTCTTTTACTATTAACCTGAATTTTCTGGCGGGAAGTAAGTCTCAGTCCAAAATAAAAATCTCTAATTCACTAACTCCCTTCAGTGCTTATAAATAAAAGTAATGCGATGTCTAAAGTACTTAAACTGCACCCAGGCACAAAGTAAAACATTGATAAATTCCTAGCCTCTCATGTGTTCTCTTTCCTTTCTTCCAACAGTCAGTACATCTGTCTTAACACTATTTTCAACCACTTTTTAAAAACATTTGGTGAGTTCTGGTTTCCAGTTATAAGTTCCGTCTGATTAGAATCAAGTCTTATATCCTCCTCCAGTCCCAATGGCATCAAGCAAAAGGGACATGGTAAACTACTCAGGAAAATACCTTGTTGATTAGCTTCCATATCTGGTAGCTAGACAGGAATTTTTAGGGAGATATAAGGCTTCATATAGGAAGGTACTGGCATTATTGAACAGAGGTCATAAGTGACCAGGAGTTATATGGAAAATGAACTTACCACTTGTTCCTGAGTTACTGTCACTGTTGGAAGAGATGTTTTTTTCTGATCTTTTCCTTGTCGGCTGGTGGAGCCCTTGTGTTTTCAGTTTGTCCTTTAAAGCTACAAGGAAAAAAAGAGAAGAAAAGCAGACATCTCAGATCTCTGGAGGAAGGGAAAGCTGCTCCAGCGGAGAAACAAATAGTATAGATGTTAAAAACATTAGTTTTTGGCGCTTATATCTGCAAAGTCCTCCAAGAGCCTGGCGTTTCCCCTTTCCTACTGCTAGAAAGACTTTATAATTGCTTGCCAATCTCAGAGTGACATGAGTATAACCTACCCCAAAACAGACGCATGATCTCAAGGCCACCTCTGAACACAAAGCAACTTTGGATGGGGTGCAAAAAGGGTTATGACATCATGGATTTAATAATTTACAGCCTTAATAAAAAAGTAATACCTTAACTGGGGCAAAACTCATTCTGCTGGAAAAAGAAGAAAAAGGGTTGAAGTACAGAGTTAAAAGGCACAGAGTAAACGTCAAGACCAAATAGGTAAATTACATGCCTATGAGAAGACATGGATATAAACAAACATGCTTGCTAGTCTCAGTTAATCCACACGGAAATGGAAAACACCAATAAATTAAAATGAACATAAACAATGGAAAAAATAACATGCATGAGGAATAAACCTTTTTCTCTGCTTCCTTCCCCTACTTTGCTCCATCTAGCAGAAATCCCTGCTCAACATGAGGAGGACCCTCCTTTTTTGTGAACAGTACTTTGTTTTATAGATCCTCATGGGAACAAGAACAAGAGGCCAAAAATACAACTACAACTGGTGTCTAGGGATAAGTCTTTACTTCCTTTGGAAGTTGAATTCACCTTCTAGAATCCTCTGGCCTGGTTGATACATGAATACTTGAGCTAACCCGCCATAACCATTTATTCTTACTTAATAGGATGGAAACCCAAAAAGCTCAAAATATTAGATAAAGCAGAGTAACTGTCATTTCAGAAAGTAGCAGAAGGAAAGCAGAAAGCCTGTGGAACCATGAGACACACTGAACAGACACCCTCAAAAGGCAGCTCCTCACCTGGGTTACAATGGCATCAAGCCCTGTCTGACCCCAGGCATAGTCCCCAGGGTTGGAGTGCAGCATTCCGCTCCTATACATGAGATGAGACAGACAGCATTAGATGGAGTGACTAGGCTCTGCCTTACACCACAGAAAAAAAAAACTATCAGAAAGATCCTGTTCTCCCTCAGAGCTGGAAAGTCACTAATCCTCTAGAATAAAGAGGCAAAGAATTTCTCTATATTTTCAAGATCAAGCAGATTATCTAGAGATAGCCTCTCATTCTCTAAGAATTTCACTTAACTGGAACATAAAATGTGATGCCATCTAAAATACCTTATGACACCAACAGCAAAATGAGTGTGGACTTCATTCCTAAGGGTTAGGTTGTCTTTTCTCCACCAACTTACATTAAAGTAGCTGGAGCTGCTTTTTAGGGAAGTTTTTCCTTATGGCTTACCAAAATCACATCAGACGTCCCTCAATTCAACAGGCTGTGCTTGGTCCTGGGACAAATAAGAAGCTGTTCTAGTACAGAAGGGCAGGCCATAGCAAAGTCTCTTGAATCACAAACTCAGAGCAGTTACCAAAACGGACCTGTCAGTACCTCATTCTTGGTTATTGCTGTGCAGTACCCTGATGCGAGGTCCAGACTCTGACTGGGAACACGTTTTAAAGGAACTAGAGGCTAGGAAATGACTAAGTGTGGGCGAAGACTCAAAGTCTCTATTGAGCCGAAGAAGTTTTCCTGGAGCAGATTTAGAAGTGACAAAAATATTGTCTAGACAAGAAGAAATTCCATTTTTAATCCCTACCATACCTAAGTGTCACTCTGATACTAAATTATGGCCTTTTGTTTCTTTTGCAAACCTTATTTTAGAAAAAGAAAGGTTTCATGTTTTCAACTTCAGAAATTCTTAAAAGAATAAAATCTTCCTGCATATCCAGATGGGAAACTCAGAAATCAGATACCAAGCTTGGCAGGAACCATCTCATTCCTCAGCCAGAATATGAAAAGTAATAAGACATAGTTCAGCACTCAAACATTTTGAGGGACCAGGACCGCCCTCCTGATCCTGAACAATAAAAAGTAAGTTCTGATTAAGTTTGGGTTCAGCAGACAATGGAAGTCTAAAAACTTTCCAATCACTTCTACATACTCACCTATGTAGACTTTTTCCTTCTTTCTGTAAGACAGAAACTATAATAGCTAAAAATGATGCCTAATCCAGCAGGTTAAGGACAGACAAACAAAACTAGTTACTTACCAAGAAAAAGGATGTTGAGGATCCAGGAATTAGCAGAAATTTGCGAAGAATCCTGCAAAGATCTGTTGTATCATTCTGTTAAAAGAGAAAAATAATTAAATTAGATAGCACATGAAAATACTCTACTAATCACAAACTATTTCCCCAAACTACAATGGCTTTCCACCGATTATTACACAAGAGATAGCACCAGAAATCAGTCTACTGCATATGGTATTGTTTGATTTTGCTATAACAACTATCTTTGAGAAGGCTCTTGCCATCTTACAGGATTAATAGATTTTTGTGATTAGGCTGGGAAAGGGATCCACATTCTATGCCAGATCAGGCAGTTTTCAAACTATATTCCTTGGCTTCTCTTGGCACCAATATGAGGGAGTTTTAAAAGGGATGCTAAGCCAAATGGATTCTGACCTACTTCCCTTTGTACAAGGGTAGTTTATGTGCCTTACACACTAGATTTCTACATAAGATATTATTTAAAGGGCCTTTTTCGTAAGTTTGAGGATAAACTGTATTTAGCAGGGTATTTAGATGACCATAACAAATATACAAACACTGATACATGCTTGATACAACTTAAAATGGTATATGTACCCATTTCTTTATACTGAATGAGTTGGGTCTTTGTTATCCCAAAGAGATGTTGGTGGTTGAGGCCTCAGCAAAAGAAAAACCAAAGGGGGCTAGTTATAGGCTTAGTGTATAACACTGGCCTGGTATATGTGCAGTTCTGAGTTCGATTTTCTAGGTACTGCAAAAAAAAACCCAAACTCGCAGAAGAAGTGCTTTTCGTTGGGTATTTCCAGTGTTTTCTGAATGAATATGCACTTTTATTAGGCCAATCAATTATAACTTTACAGTAGCAATGTTAGACTAAACAATAGGTTAACTCTATTCCTCATAGTTTTTTTTTTTTTTGGTTTTTTTTTTTTAATGTGTGTATTTCAGTTACTGATAACTGATTTAGGGCCTTGCACTTGCTAGCAAGCACTCTACCATTTAAGCCATGGCCGCTGAATCCTTTTAGTTTTGGTTTTCAAATAGGGTCTCAAGCTAAACTTTACCTGGGCTGCTGGGGAACCACAATTCCTCCTACCCTCCACCTCCTGAACAGCTGGCATTACAGATGTTATTGGTTTGGCAAAAATAATATGCCTGGCTTGTTTCAGATTAGAGTTCTCACTAACTTTTTGCATAAGGCGTGGCCTAGAAATCTCCACCCTCACTGCTCTATCTATTAAGTAGCTGGAATTACAGGGTACAGTCCACCACATCTAAGTCCTCATTACTAACTTTTAATGACAAAAAGCTATTTTTTTAAAAATTTTTTATATAGGTATAGCTGTACAACATAATGTTCTAAAAGATACAACATTGGGAAAGATGGTTAAGTCAAGCTAATTACCATGTGTATCTCATGTTGGTGATAGATCTCTTATTTGTTGAATGAGAACATTTAAATCTATTCTCCTTAGCAATTTTCAAGGGCTTACAACACATTATTAACTGTAGTCAGCCAGGCTATACAAATTTAGACCTCTTGAAACTTATTCCTCCTAACTGAAATATTGTATGTCCTTTGAACCAACATTTCCCCAAGTCACCCTCTTTATAACTATCTCCGGTAAACAGCCATTCTAATTCTTTGCTTTTTGTAAGTTTGAAGTTTTTTTAGGAATTCTCTGAGTTTGTTTTAAAAATGAGTGAAAAATTATTTGAATAAATCCACCCTTGAGTGTAAACTTGGATTTAGTGACTGACTTCTTTAACAAGAGGACATCCAAAAGAAAGTTCAAAAAAGGTACGTGGCTTCTTTCTTGTCTTCTCTTTGATCACTTTACTCTGGGACAGTGCCATATTAAGTAGTTGTATAGGAAAGACCCATGTGATTAAAGAACTAGGCCTCCTGCCAAGAGCCAGAACAAAACTCACCAGAATAATATAAGCCCCCAATGGATTCTGTAGATGACTACAAGGCAAACGGCCAACCATGTTGACTGTAGCTCATGAGACCAAGCGACCCTTCCGGTTCACTCAACTATCCACTCCATATTCTTGACCCACTAGATTCGTAAGATAATAAATGCTTGTTGTTTTTTATTGGCACTAAGTTCTGTATAATTTGTTATATTAGCAATTGATAACTACTTATACATTTTTGATATCAGACATGGGTACTACTATAATAAAAACCTAAAATTTGGGACTATCTTTGGAAACCCCAGGCAGTGGGCAAGCAAACTGTAAGGGACTTAGAGGAAAGCATCATGAAAAATGAAGATCCTTAAAGAAACAGTTAGTTATGACTGGAATATAGCACAGTGGTAGAGCACTTTGTCTAATAGGTGTTACAGTCCTGGACGGTTTAAAATCTTCAGCATTGCCAGGGGCTGTGGAGTGACTCAAGTGGTAGAGTAACGCCCTAACAAGCATTTGAGGCCCTGAGTTCAACCCTAGTCCCAAAAATTAAAAAAAAAAAAAAGCAATCTTCAGCATTGCAAAAAAGAACCACCTCATACCCCCACCAACACAACACACCACACCACCAGACACACACACACACACACACACACACACAGACCCACACACACACACACACACACACACCACACACCCAACAATTAGAAGGCACAATAGCCTTTTGAGGAAAGCTTATGGCGTGAAAATTTACGGGAATTACTGAGAAAATCTATTAGAGGGACAGGGATCTATATTAAGGTACTGTCTGCTTAACATGGAGAAAATAAGTTGTGGCTCAGGAACTGGAACAATGATCTAGCAAAGAGATTTCTCAGGCTGAAGGTACTGCTTGACTTCTTTGTTGCTTACAAATTAAAAGGTAAGAGGAGGGCTAGGGGAGTGTTGGAACTCAAGTTGGTAGATCACATGCCTAGCAAACTGAAGCTCTGAATTCAAACCCTTTATACTGGTCAAAACAAACAAAACAAAAAGAGAACAGAGGAAATGGATAAATTAAAGGACAGTTTAAAAGGAGTTAGAATAATGGAAGAGATAAAACTTATTTCAAGGAACACCTGTACAGGGATTATCACAACAAAATCCTTTCATATTATTAATGTATGCTAATTTAAAAATTTTTAAAGGAGTTAGGAGAGTATAATTTTGAGAATTGCTAGTATCTCCAAAAGAGGAAATGATATTGAAAAGAAATGGATTTTCAAAGCCAGCACCAGTGGCTCATGCCTGAATCCTAGGCTACTCAGGAGGCAGAGATCAGGAGGCTCGCAGTTCCAAAGCCAGCTCTGAGCAAAACAATTTTGTGAGGACTCCTTATCTTGAAAACCCCTCACACAAAGTTTGGTGGAGTGGCTTATGCTGGAAGGCCCTATAGTTCAAGCGCAAGTTTACTGCAAAGAAAGAAAAAAGAAATGGAATTTCCAGGGCCAAAATGGCGAAGGAAACGGAAGGAAGGAAGGAAATAAGTGTATTTTAAGCAAAAATAAATACAGAAAGTACTGTTCCAAAGAACCTGGTTTAAGATGAAGCAAGAGTGTGGCGTATAAAAAAGACCTGAGAAAACATCTAAAGTGGAGTAGAAAACCATGATGGTTAAACCAACTGGGCTTCTAGGAACTTTAAAGGTATTGGGCTAGTTTCCCAGGGCTTCATATAATAAAATGGACTACAAAATGGAGCAGCCTAAAACAACAGGAATTTTATCTCTCACTGTTTGGAGGCCCAGAAGTCTGAAATCAAGGCTAGCGTAGAGTTTGATTTCTTTTGGAAGCTCGGAGGAAGAATCTGTTCCCATGGCCTAGTTCTGTTCCACACCAGTTTTTCTGGTGACTACAAGGCAATTCCTCCCATTTCCTTGGTTCTATATTACCCATTACACCAAACCTCAGCTTTGAATCTTCACTGGCTTTCTTCCCTGTGTCCTTATGTGTCTGTGGCTCTAAATGTCCCTCTTCTTGTAAGACAAACACTGCTGGACTAGGCCCACCCTTGTCAGTAGGATCCCTGTCATAACTGTATCTCCTGAAAGGACCCATACACCAAATAATGTCACAGTCCACAGGTAGATTTGGCATATCTGGGCAGATACACTTTCTTAACAGCAGAAACCAAGGAAGAAGGATCATCCAGAAAAGATCATCAAGAAGATTTATGGAAGGATTCCAAGATTGGCGGCTAGAGGTAGGAAGCAAAGCGACCCTCCTATAGTGAAATCTTGGAGAGACGCTGGAGACACACTTTGCAGGCATAATCACCGAGAAAAGGCATAACTTTGACCCCTCCACATCTCCAGCCGGTGCAGAGAATCTCCACTTCACGTTAAACGGAGAAACGAGGAGGGCCCCGGGGCCGCCAGGCTGGCGCCCATACGGCTTGGAAGACGCGGACCAGGTGAGCTTGAGCGACGGTACCGCGGTAGCCCACAGACAAGCCTGGGCCAGAGCAGCATAGCCCCCTGGACAGACTGACCTCCACCCGGGAAAAAAAGAGAAACTGAGTAATAAGCAATAAGAACAGTTAAGACACGCTGGAAAGAGGGTGGGGCGCCCTGAGCGCTGAAGATTGGGGGAAGGGAATCCTTCCCGGGACTGTAAATAAACAAGCCAGGCGGGCGGAGAGCTCTGGCGGAGCGCGCGCGCCCAGCAACCAGGAGCGGGGAAGCTTGTGAGAGGAGGGAAGACCCACTTCCCACGTGAACTGTAAACAAACATGGCGGCGGCAGGAGCAGCAGCACCGCCCAGTAAGCAGGAGCAGGAAAGCTTCTGAAAGTGGCAGTGGGAGGAAAACTCAGAGGAGAGGGGAAGACCCACCTCCCACATGAACTGTAAATAAACACGCAGGCCTGACAACGCGGGGCAGTGTCACCTTTCCAGTGCTTGGAAAGGGGAAAGCCTGTAGCAGAGGCCCGCACAGGAGAACTCTGAGCAAACAAAGCCTGTGGGACCAGGTGAGTGCTAAGCTCACCCCAGAGATCTGCATAAATAACGCCGCCAGCTACAGGCTGAGAGCAGCAGGCAGGCAAGCCACAGTTGCAGATACCACTCTCAGAACTGTCTCCAGACGCTTTTTTTTCTTTTTCTCCCTACCTTTGATGAGAGAACAACCGAATTACACCTGCAAGCCGAAAAACTTACTGAAACTGTATTGCATTTGAACTGGGACACT